TCTTCTAGGTTGGAAGGGACCTTAAAGATCATCTTGTCCAACCGTCAACCTAATTTTGACAAAAATAGACACCCACACAACAAACAAGGAGCATCATCACTAAACCAGACCTCCCAGCACTACATCAACCCGTCTTTTGAACACCTCCAGAGATGGTGCCTCCACCACCTCCCTGGGCAGCCCATTCCAATGGCTGAGAACCCTTTCCGTGAAAAAATGTTTCCTAATATCCAGCCTGAACCTCCCCTGGGGCAACTTGAGGCCATTTCCTCTCGTCCTGTCGCCTGTGACTTGAGAGAAGAGACCGACCCCCACCTCTCTACACCCTCCTTTCAGGGAGTTGGAGAGAGCAATAAGGTCTCCCCTCAGCCTCCTCTTCTCCAGGCTGAATAACCCCAGTTCCCTCAGCCTCTCGTCCAAAATACCTGCTGTGAACACTAAACCTCTATTCTTACAAGAAACGCGGTGCTGGATGGTGTTTTTGAGATAGAAAAACCCTGTGTTTCCTCCTGTTTTCACTTGCTACGGATACGATGACATCGGGGCCTGAAACAGACTCAAAAACACGCCAAGAGCTGCCGTTTCAGTGCAGCAGAACATCAGCCTGGTTGAGGCTGCTTTTCACCCAAGTCCACATCCTCTGTGCCAGAACCTCTCAGCCAGCAGCACCTTGCAGGGCAGAGCCCCCGGGGGCAGCCAGGGCTGAGCCACCCCCCAGCCCCCCTGGGCCAGGCTCTGCCCCCTGCCAGCAGCATCCAGCCCCGCTCAGCACCCCCCAAACCCTCCCCTCGGGGCTGTGGGACTCACACACCATTTTTTTGTATTTTTGCAGTCTTTTATTGAAAGAGCCAACAGCGACAGAGCACAGCAGAGTGTGTATTTGCACGAGCAGCAGCACTGACATAGTGAATTCTGCCAAAAAAGCTACACAGCAGCTCCAGGTGACGCAATGACAGGCTGGGGGGGGACACACACACGGGGGGGTTGTTCATGTCACATATCTCTGCTCTGCCTTTAGCAGTAGAGAATCAAAGATGCAAAACAGGATCATCTAAAACAGGAGACACTTTGGGAGTGATCCCATTTTCCCACCTACGAGTTTTACCTCCTGTACCAGAGGGATGTCCCAAACCAGAGGGATGTCCCAAACCAGAGGGGTTCGAAACTAACAAGTAAGAGGGGACCCAGAAAAGCTGCACTAGAAGCGGATTATTAACTAGAGCAGACCCTGTGCCTTCAGTCAAGGCAGAATTTTCTGGTTTTTAAGCAGGCTTAGCACCCTCAGCACCCTCCTCTTCCTGCCCCTGAGGTCCCTCCCGCCTGCAGCCCCAGCAGCGCACGGGCACACACTGCAGCAGCTCCAGAAATTGTGATCAGCTTTGCAAGTCTCACAGGCCAACGTGTTTTTGGCAGGGCAGGGAAGAATACCTCTGCTTCTTCCTTAGTGCATAGATTAAATGCTTTTCCTCTGGATTCACTGGGGGAGCCTCGATTACAAGTATTTAAAATTCACTGAACCAGGAGCCAGGACTCATCAGGCCCGGGAAGGTGCAGGATTTAGGGTGGATTTAGCCACGTGCTTCAGTGTTACTGGCTTAGGGACAAAGCTCATGAATGAGCAAGACACGGGGGCACCAGAAATTCATCCTCACCAGTTGTAACCCAGAAGAGACGTGAACTGAGACTGGGAGGCAGGTGGAAAGGGGAGAGCATCCCCCGGGGCAGCTGCCCAGACCCCCCCTGCCAGTGTCACCGCTGTCACCAGCCAGAGGTAGGAAGGAGAGCACTGGCTCACCCCAGGGAAAGGGAGCCCCACGTCCACCCGTGGTCAGCACCATCCACTGAGCAGCTCAGGAGTGGCAGGAGCCATCCCTGGGCAGACCCCCCCCCCCCCAGAAGATGCCCCTGGGAGTTCTGCTGCAGGACAAAATCGAGGGAGCCCACGGCCACCATGTCTCAGAGGCCTTGGGCCACCCCATGGGCGAGAGGCACCTGCACTGGGGAGAAGCAGCCACCTGGGACTGGGACACTTTGTTCTAGGGACTGGGACATAACGAGGGCATTCAATAGCAGCCTTGGCTGAAGTCAGAGAGGACAGAGAGCCTAAAGAGCATTGCGGAGCTCCACTGCAGGGGAGGGGGGGCTGCTG